TTGAAACGAAGAAAACAAGATTGTGCTATTCTCTTTCCTGAGTACCAGAACAGCAATACTTGAAACTGAAAATCAAGTCATCAGCACACATCCCAAAGAAGTACTCCGTACTCAGCCAAGAAAAACCATTGGTCTTGCTTCATACATAAATGTCGTAGCAGACACATGCAGCCTGCTACATGTGCAAGATAATGTGAAGGAAGGATTTAGTAAGGTGTTGACATGCATAACTGGCAATGATGTGGTATAGTTCTAGCAGTTACATCACTTCTACAACATTGAACATTATTACCACAAGAAGAAACTCGAGATGGCTATCGACAAGTTCCATGCCTTCACTGGGTGTGACCTGATGTCATCCTTTGGAAGCAGGGATAAAATGGCGGCATGAAAACATGTAATAATTTTGATGAAGTCACAACAGCATTCTGCACTTGGCTGCAACCTGAATCTATAGCTGTTTGACTTGTGACTTGTACTCTTGTGTGATCGAGCCAATGGTCAAGAGCATTTCAACGATGGTCGGAAGCAGCTCTTCACTCAGATGTCCTTCCTCCAACACAAGCTTCAGCACTACAGCACACCAAGAGGGCCGCACATTGAACTGCTTACTGTTGGAATATATAGTAGACAATTCTTCTGGAGGCTATGCAGGCATTTCACCAACTGCTTTGCTGAAATTGCAAGAAATATTGCAGAGGGAAGTGTAAATGCATCACGCCATTATTCAAGTTCACTGCTAACTGCCAATGATTTCAAATGGATTCACAAATAGTGCAAACAGAAATGAGTTCTGTTTAACTTTGTTTGTATAATAAATAATCAATTATTACCGATGTATCTTAATAAGTAGATTTCATGAATCACATTTTAGCTTGTTTGAGAGTTTATTGTCATGTAAAAATGAATAAAAGTTAACATTACACCAGTGTTTGAAGTTCGCAACCCAAACACTTGACAAACATGATTTCATTACTTAACCGATGGTGATTGTTTTATGATAAAGCAGACATGTCCATCATAAGACAAATATGCAATGGACATATAGCCATAAATCTTTGTCTAGGCCTCCCCTAAATGTGTGCGAAATTTCATATTTCTATCACAAAAGACACAATTCTTACACATATCTGCTGGACTATATCGAAATAAACAGACCACCATGAATAACGGTTTATATGTATATCAGTTTACGTTGTATTAGTCATAACTTAACGAAAGCAACTTATGACTGAACTGTAGTTTACATAATTCCATGATCACTGACTTTAGACAAACCTTCATTTGCTCCAATTACAACTGCTGTATCAGTAATTAAGCTTTAATCTTATGCTAGCTCGAATAGCATAATTGCCAGAGGTTGAATACATTATATTAAAATGGCTTTGAGGCCTCATTACGTCGTTGCAGTCTTTGTTAACACGTTCGATCGTGCTCTATTTGATGACCATGCATCGTAACAATAGTCCTGCAGCGTACTTTCCATTGTAGTTACTTCTTTACAGTATGCTTTCCATAATACGTCTAGTGCCGTGTGGCGACATTTTCTAGTGCCAGTTTTAACAGTCTGATCATACAGAACTCTTTAGGCGCTGTGTCTGGTGACTTGACCGGTACGTTTTCGTAACGAATGGTATGAGTACCAGTTTCATTTTCCAGATGATTGGGGTATGCAATTGTTGAATAGTTATATCGTGGAGGCAGCTTATATCCACGTGACATGTGTCGCTTTTCCAGATAATGATTTTTATGTTGCGTACAGCTAGCTGAGTAACGTGGACACCTTTTGCCATTGACCTTGATGTTCGTGTTTTTCACCTATTATAAAACGTTGTAGCTTTCTTACCACAGCTGGGCTATGACTTGTTTCAGATCTATTTATGGGTGGTCCTTAACCCCCATGTTGATCCATATTTTTTGTTCTCCTATGTTATTAAGTACAGTTAATATCATCTTTTGGAAATTCTATATCCCTGATTAAAACACATCCTTATGATTCGAGTGTATTAATATTTTGTATCCGAAAGGATTGTTATATACTCTTCCCAAAAGGTATCAGTTTTCGATGGCCTCACACTTCTTATGAAACACTAAAAAAAAAAATTAAAATGTAGTTCTAATACGTGCCATTCCACCAAGATTTTGTATCAGCTGTGATTGTAATACCTTATCTTATGTCAACGACAAATGACATACCATTATAATCTAACGTGAGTTTAAACCTCGAAATGACTCTGGAAAAAACGGACCGTCAACCCTCATTTTGAAAAACTTTAACACTTTTCTGTGCCAAACTGAGATATCGAAACCCAGTTTATTACTAAGTTTTGAAAATTACTTGGTAAAATGTCCAAACTTCATGCCAATTGCAGAACTCTCGACTTTTCAAACTCGAAAAACGAGTATAACTTACAAAATGAAACAGTTTCACGAACATATAGGAATATATCCGAGTCAAATGTAACCGTACCAGTATTCTTTTCTCATTAATTCAACACACTAATTCTGTTTACGACACAATAAATGACAGACTTTATCGTAGTTTGTCCCAAACAAACAAACGTTGTATAATCTATGATGCAATGAACAGTTTCTAAACTATAATAGATGAAATGAAGAATTCTGGTGTTTTGTGAGATAATCACAAATATTAGTAGAATGGATTATGCTTATTTCATATCTCAAGCATTGTACTCAAGTATTTAGCAAGGTGATTACATATATCTACAGTTGTGTTAATTTTAATCTGATCAAAAACACCTCAGGTATATAAAAAAGTGCGGCCAGACTGGTAGTTTCATTTATAGCATTGATAAGAACTTTACAGCAAATACTCATTCATTAGTTAGCCAGGCAACGTTATTTGTTCAACTTGGGGCATGATGGTGGATAAAACAAAATATGCGGCCTAACTAACTAATCAATGAATATTTGCTGTAAAATTCTTATCAATGCTATAAGTGTAGCTATCAGTTTAGCCGCCAAATTCGATTTCATTCCTTTAACTCGCACGCTCAATCCTCTTTTGGCCACACCTTTTTTTCATACCTAAGGTGTTTTTGATTAGATATCATGACATTTTATCAATACACACCAACAAACCATAGCAAGTAAGAAAGTTACACTAGTTATTAATCAACATCAGCTTTAGGATCGCAACCCTATTATTCGTAACAGACCTATACTTTACAGAACTAACCAGATTCTTTAAAACAGTGTTGATAGCTTCCTTTATAGTGACGCCATGGAATCTAGATTAATAGTTTCTTATCATCACCCGCATTCACTCGGTACAGCCGTATCAAGCATCATCATTTACGCTAATTGCTAAAGCTCATATCACGTGACGCTAAACGCTCTTTAATTAGAAAAGTTTCATAAAATTTAGCAAATTTGTGCTTAAAAGTTGGCAATGAATATGATTTTTTTTAAAACTTGAGCTTAAAAGTGATAATCTAGTTTGCTTGATCTAACCAAAAAATTATGCACGTCATTTCACCTTTAGTTTTGCTGCTCTAAATCAACCGTCTTTAATCCGAATGAGAAAAATGTTAAAGGTCCACCTTTACTCTTAGGGGGAATCTGTAGTAAAAATTTTGAGACCGTGACTTTTTGCGTAGGCGTGCGCAAAACGTTTGGTCAAATATGAATAGTTTTTGTTGAATAACTTTACATATATGACTTATACTTAGACCAAATTTGACACCTAATTGTAGGTTGAAAAGATCTATTAATGTACCGAATTTGAAAAAAAACCCATAAAAGTTAAGTATGTTTTACTACCAAATGTGCATGTCCTTTCACCTCATAGTTTTGCTGCACTAAATCGTCTTTAATCCGAATGACTCAAAACTAGAAACGGTCTACTTTTACTCTTAGGTGACGCTGCAGTAAAAATTTCAAACCGATAGCTAACGTGATTTTTTGCGTATGAGTTTTATTTTGTTGAATAACTTTGCACATGCAAAATATATTTAAACCAAATTCGACACATAATTGTAGGTTGTAATGATCTATCTGTGTACCAAATTTAAAAAAAAATCCATTAAAGTTAAGTATGGTTTTCTATCAAATAAAATTTCCGTACTTTAGGTGCGAAGAAAAAGAAAAGAGGTAAATCAAAATTGGAGATTTTATATCTCGTGTATTTCTCAATGGATTGCCATGGAAGTTGGTATGTGAAGTAAGATTTTAGTAGAGCACATCCACAAAAAAATACTTGTTAGTTTGGATTACCACAGTCCGAGCTAGAGAATGTGAAAAATCGCTAAACTATCACTCCTGTTAATAACACACAGTGTATCCTGCAGCAAGTTGTTTTGGCTGCACGACACACTACCGTGTGTCTTGATATCTAAAGGAAAGAGGGCATAATATAAAGGCAACTTCAGCTTGGGTGATATTTTTAAACAATTTTTCAAACAAGAAAGTCAAAAACAAAAAGCGTTGCAAGTAAAAGTCAGACTAATAAAACTAAGGCAAAAACTACAATATGGGTAGAGTAAAACTTATCACAATAAGAGGAGTGTAAACAGAGGTAATACTCATGGAGTATTCCTGTAGAGTTCAGAATAAATTTTATAATGTACTAAAATATCTAATTGGTCGGGCATGGCCTAGTTAATACTCTGTATGTGATTTCGAGTATTTATGGTTTGTGCCCCTTTGCCGTAAAACCTCGCCCCGCACTCAGGGTGGGGGTGGGGGTCATATGTATAGGTGCGCTACTTAAGTAACGGTCAACTCCCACTATTCTCTCAAACAATAGCAGCCCAAGAGTTGGCGGTGAATGCCGTTGAATAGTTTCCTTCTCTCTAGCTCACAACGTCAAAATTAAGGATGGCTATGCGCAGATAACCCTTGTTAACTACCGCAAAATTCTAAAACAAACAACATGTAAACAATTTCTTACAAGGTTAGATTTCAGAAACTTTGATTTATTCTTTTTCACTAAAAGGATCGTAATTTTTAATCAGCCACAAACTTTATATTTTACTTACCAAACTTCATTATTATGAATAACAGGATAGCAGTCTGTTGAGGCTGTTATTTTACTATTTGTTGTTGTTTTTTTCTCAGTTTTCTTTTTACTGTCGATAAAACTCAGGGAATTGGAAGATCACCGTGAAATTCCGACTGTCTATTCTCCTATAAATTTATAGAGTAAGGTGGACAGAGCAAGATCTATGCCCTTCTGTCGAAAGGAAGACCGAGACTGCTTACTATGCTCTGTTCTCAATCAGCGAAGACGGGTGAAAGTGAAAGATCCTGGTAGTTACGAACCTTTGAGTAATGCACGCGATGCTTTAGGCGCAGGCGCAGAAGCTTAATTTTGTATAACAGCAGAATAGTCTAACATGGTCGGGATTGACAACTTCCTGTTATATGGAGTTATCGTTTAGACTAGTTACTGGGTGTTTTGCATAAAAAAAAATGTATTGACATCCTAAAACTAGTTAATAAATAAATCATGTACAGCAGTCTCACGTGCAGTGACTGTGTTCAGGGTCGTGGAAATCATGTTATAAAATAATTTCAAAAGTAATTTTCATCCGCTTGTACTGTTATCAATGTTTGAAATGTATGCTTGTACTGTTATCCATGTTTGAAATGTATGCTTGTACTGTTATCCATGTTTGAAATGTATGCTTGCACTGTTATCCATGTTTGAAATGTATGCTTGCACTGTTATCCATGTTTGAAATGTATGCTTGCACTGTTATCCATCTTTGAAATGCATATATTTTTCGTATTATTTCACGTTTTATTCTGTAACTTAAGGTATTTTATTACAATTGCTGAAACCTGTAATTTTTGTGATAAATACAAAAATTCATAATTTTAGCCCTGACTGAGAAAAATGATGACTAAATGGATGATAAAAACGTCATAAAGATTTCAATTTCTTAATACTGAAAACAGTATTATTTCTATAACAGAATAATATAAGCTGGTTGTTTTGTTTTGTAATTATATAAACAAATGACAAAAAAATAATCCAGGCTTAACGTGTCTCCACCTGATGAGTAGTTACTGAAAGAGCATAGAAACCGATGGTTTAAAAAAAATGTATTACGTAGTGAAAAGCCAGCCTTATAACTAGTCACGAAAAAAATACTGAAATAATGTTTACTGTTAAGTTAGTTATTACATATCTATACGGAGCTCTGTGTAGCCTAGTGGCTGGCATGCCGAGAAGTGGATCCGAGGATACATGGTTTGCGTCCCGTTATCGATTGCCTGAAACTATCAATCACATCTATATGTGAAGAGTTCCAAAAAACTTTGAACAACCACCGGTCGACTACATTGATTCATTAAATATGATAGTTTTAGGGGACGTGTTTGACCAAGAAATAAATATTAATGGCTATTTTACGCTTTCCAAAGTTCATTTGTCCAAACCGGTCTTTTGTGGTTAACTTAGACGTTGTTGTATTACTTTGTTGGGTAAATATAAAATAGGCTTTAGTGTGTGTGTGTGTGTGTGTGTAGAGAGAGAGAGATAGAGTGCAAAGTATGGCATCTTCGTTTACTGTTAATGGGCTATCTTGGCTATGCCCACCACAGGTCTCTAAACCCGGTTTCTAGCGTTATAATTCCGCAGACTTGAACTGTTCTACGGGGGGGGGACGCATAAAGTGAAGCAGTCACAAGATTAGATCGTTTTGAAGAGTATAGTTGAATTCAAAGATAGTCACGCTCATTACCATACGTCGATGGTGATCATAATGTTGATCGTTTTTTTCACAGCAACGTTTCAAATCTATCTACATTGAAAAAATAAAACGGAAGGGTAAAAACAACGTCTTTCGCTAATAAAACAACGCGTATATAGTTCTTAAAAGAAAATCTGAGACATCTTGCGATAACAATTACCTTAAAAATGCTAAATAATAAGAACTAAGTAGGTAGAATACTATATACATATGGTTTCGTACGACTTTTTATGCATCTTTTTTTTTAAACGTGGTCTGTACAACGGAAAACAACCTATACATTTTTGTTATGGAAACTATTCTTGAGTGAAAACCAAACACTTATATTTGTTGTTTGTACGAATACTTATTCATTGTTCCTCAAAAGAAAAACAGCAGTGTTGTTTTAAATTAAAATGTCTAGTTTAAACGAAAAGGAAAAAGTGATAATATAAAAACTGTAATGAATGTTTTTGTTCGTTTATTAATTGATTGAAGCGCCATATCAACCAACTCACAACACGTGTTATCTGAATAACCGGGTAAGTTTTGGTCTTGGCGGAATCAATTAATGAAGATCTTTCATCCGCTTACATTATGCTTTTATACGCACCATCCACAGCTAGAGTGAGTTCTGCACCACTAGGAATCAATAACTAAGACTAAACTTGGTTGATAACATTTCCTTCTCACAGATCCGAGTTCTTCTGGTTCTACCCCACGCCCTCCCGATAATGTGTAAGTATTTGTGGGATGACGATGTTACTCTTTACATGGTTGGTTCAGGTGAGTCTCTACGATGAGTTCCTCTGTCATTCATGAATCAGACTCTCATTTTCTTTCAACTTATTGAATAATCCGTAAAAGATTTACAAGCTCTATGAACTTTTGATAAAAATACAAAAAAAAACCAACAACAACGTATCCCTGAACATACCGATATTGTCTGTTCTATTTTACTGTTTGTAGTACTGTAAACATCCAGTATGCATGTTCCCACCTCTTGTCTAAAATCGGAAGTGCCTGGTAACACTTTACGAAAGCGAACTTTTCTGTTCTGCTAATTGTATTGTCTCGTTTTTCTTAAATAACTCAGATGGTTTTCATTTTCTTAAAGAAACATTTCATCCAATTCCTTGTTGTTGTTGTTGTTTTTAACACATAAATCATCGATATTAAATTTATCACACATCTTACTTATTTTAGATAGATAGCTATGATTTATCATTGCAATGAAAAATCACCAGTTACGGTTTAAAACGAGCAACCTGAAAAATGCTAACTTGTATGTTAAAAAGAATAATAACTTTCTGATCGGAACGAGATACGTATATTCAAACAAACAAAATAAAGTTCCTATTCCCTAAGGAATAAAATTATACGCGCGTTGTATTTAATCGATATTTCGTAGTTAATAAAAGATATTACGAGATGTCTGTTCTTGTCTGTTGTTAATTGCCTTATACGAAAATGAATCGACATTATTATGTTTAAAACCTAATTTTTTTATTGTGTCAACACCAACTGGTGTTTACAGCGTACATAAATAAAGATAATAAATTGTTTTTGCGAAATCGTATTTAATAGGCCCAAACAAAATTTCAAAATCACGGAAACAAAATGTTCAGCTACAAGAAATACAGAGGGTCGAGCAGGTTATGTTAAAACGATTTTGATTATGCAACTCAGTAAGTCCCCTGACACCTACATCCGATATAAAGTTTTGGCGGAACGTTATGTATCAGAACTGTATTTTAACATTGTGTTTCGTGAGTAATGTGATGCCACCAAAAATGGATAACTTTTTGGAATGGTGTGTAACAGTCCTTTCCAACGCAAAATATTCATACACTCGAATCATAAGGATGTTTTCAAAACTAATATTTAGCTTTTCTAGGCTGGGGATATCCTTTGCATGTAATGACATTGGAAAACAAAGAAATGTGGATCAACTTAGAGCACCAGAACCACCCAGAAAAAGACCAGCAATGAGTCATACCTCAGCCATAGTAGGCAAAGTGCGGCGTTTTGTAACAGGTGAGAATCCAGTGGCAAAAGCCGTGCATGTGATCCAGGCAATAGTAGGCAGTATAATCAATAATGATCGCCGTCTGGTAAAGCATCGCAAGCTGCTTTCACAATACATCAATTCCACTGTCGCATACCTCAGTCATCTGGGGAGTGAAACTGGTATTCATGTTAATTGCTTTCAACTATAGTGATCCCGCCATTACGTATTAATAATGGAAAAACCACATTTACATTCCACGTGCTCACAGAGCAGCTAAAGGAGTTGATGGGTTTACTGAAGTTAAGACGCTAATAAGTAAAGACACTTGGAGAGGATTGAATTAGTCAGCACTGCAGAACGATCAAAATTAAGAGTCAAGCGATAGGACATATTGTAGCGTTTACTCTGAAGTTGATACTAATAAGAAGAAAAACCAACCATGCAGAGCTAAAGTGGTTCCAAATTTAATAACGATTTTCTGTCCAATAACAATTCCGTTTCTCCACGTTGTCTTGATATCTTTGTTAGTGCCATTAAAATCACTGGTCATTATCGTTAATTAACTGTTTTTCTATGCAATAGCTAATAATTTAGAATTTGTACAAATCCAAAAGCTAAACTATTTTATTGAGATTATTTCAACTTCCGAAAAGCTAAACTATTTTATTGAAATTATTTAGACTTCCGAAAAGTGCGAAAGATTCGCACTAAGCTATTCCTTGGCTACATGAACCAACCGTTTCTAATTCTTATCTAATTAGATAACGACCTATAGATTACCTTGTTAAGCAAGAAAAACGAGAATTAGCAAGAATGATTCGTCTCTTTTATGGAAAACAATATTTATTTATTTGTTTACTGGTGTTTGAATTTCGTGCAAAGTTACTCCAGGGCTATCCGCGCTACCCTTCTCTAATGAGAAGTGATTGACTAGAGGAAAAAACAGGTAGTCAACACTACCCACCGCCATCTTTTAGGATACTCATTACCAATGAATAGTAGGATTCACCGTCACACTATAACTGAAAGAGTAAGCAATTTCGGAGACAGGTTCCGATCCCACGGCACGCAGTTTGCGAGTCTAGCCACTATCCACCAGACCACTGTCTACGCTCTTTGTAAAACACTTCTAAAACAATGTTTCAGTCAATTAGTTACCTACATGGTTGGTGTTAATCAGAATAATCAGGAAAGAATAATCAAATATCTAAAGTACTCGCCCAGAAAATTAATAACACACTTGAAAATCTACATCAAAGAACACACAACAAATAAGTATGTAAATAGTGTAAAAGGAAGTCAGAGGATAAATATTAATATATTATAACAACACAACAATAATGGTATGTTTATTGAACTCTTCAATATACTTACCTTATTAATAGCCATGGAATACCTGTCGATAAAACAGATAACTACTGTTTGAGTAATAATTATTCTATAAACGCCCCCCCCCCAGTGGCACAGCGGAATGTCTGCGGACTTACAACTCTAGAATCCGGGTTTCGAT